TCTGGATAGTGGACGTGACAGTGCCTGGAGATAGCAGAATAGAAGAGAAAGAACTGGAGAAGATAACAAAATACAAAGACCTACAAATAGAAATAGAAAGACTGTGGCAAAAGCAAGCAAGGTAGTACCAATAGTCATAGGCTCCTTGGGTGCAATCCCAAAACAACTGGAGCACCACTTGAACACCATTGGCATTGACAAATTCGCTATTAGTCAATGGCAAAAGGCGGCCTTATTAGGAACTGCTTCCATCCTGCGACGATACCTGTAATACCATCAAACATCCACATCTGCCTATCCCAGGTCCTGGGTAAGGACTCGATAGGTAGACAAAATGCCAAATCCAGTCTGAACATCTGGCTGACTGTGCGATGATCAATAATAATAATAACAATAATAAAGTTGGAAGAGACCTTGGAGGTCATTGAGTCCAACCCCCTGCTCAGGCAGGAAGCCCTACACCATTTCGGACAAATGGCTGTCCAGCCTCTTCTTAAAAACTAGCCCTCACACCAATTTTTCAGCCCTGACTCCAAAGGGATCTAACCCTAACCCTAACTTGAGCCCCAACCCTAACCCTAGTTTCATTTTCATGGTCAATGGGATTTTCCCATGTATTTCACTGCAGCACATAAAAGAGTCCGAAGTCAAAGGTTTTATGTTCTCTTTCATTTGAGAACCTCCTAGAATCTAGCCTTCACACCACTTTCCAGTCCAGACTCCAAAGAGATCTAACCATAATCCTAACTTGAGTTCTTACCCTTACCCTAGTTTTATTTTCATTGTCAATGGGATTTTCACATGTATTTCACTGTGGCACACTAAAGAGTCCGAAGGCAAAGGTTTTATTTCCTCTTTCCTTTGAGAACCTCCTAGAATCTAGCCCTCACAGAATTTTTCAGGCTTGCTCCACTGGGATCTAACTGTAATCTAACCCTAGCCCTAGCCCTAATCCTAATTTATTTTTAATTCTCAATGCAATTTTCCTATGTATTTCACTGGGACCCACAAAAGAAACCAAACAAAAAGCTATTATGTTCTCTTTCATTTGAGAACCTCTTAGAATGTAGCCCTCACACTATTTTTCAGCCCTGACTCCAGAGAGATCTAACCCTAACCCTAACCCTCTCCCTCTCCATAAGCCCGCTTTCATTTTCATGTTCAATGGGATTTTCCCATGTATTTCATTGGTGCCTACAAAAGAGTCTGAACGAAAAGCTGTTCTGTTTCCTTTGAGAATGTTGTAGAGTCTAGCCCTCACACCATTTTTTATCCCAGACTCCAAAGGGATCTCACCTTAACCCTAACTTGAGCCCTAACGCTTATCCTAGTTTGATTTTTATTCTGAACGGGATTTTCCCATATATTTCACTGTGCCCCACAAAAGAGTCTGAATCTAAAGCTTTTATGTCCTCTTTCCTTCATGAACCTCCTATAATCTAGCCCTCACAAAATTTTTCAGCTCTGACAGCAAAGGAATCTAACCCTAACCCTAACCCTATTATGAGAATAGACTTTGCTTGTCCGAAGCTGGCTAGCATGATCCCAAATTGTGCTGATATTTCCTTGGGATGCTACACCTGTAGTAAGTTCAAGTCAGTTGCCAGATGCCCAAATTTTGATCACATGACTGTGGGAATATTGCAATGGTCATTAGTGTGAAGATCAGCCATAAGTCACTCTTTTTCAGTGCAGTTTAACTTTGAATGGTCACTAAATGAATGGTTGTAAGTCGAGAACTACCCATACCTGGCTTCAGTGCACTGGACATTTTATGGGACAATGAAAAAAGGGTTAAATGAAAGCAGGTTGGCTTTTAAAGGGAAAGAGAGAATATCTCTCTTCACTTGAGGAATTTAATCCACTTCCGGTGCCAAAGGTTAAATGTAACTCATTATACTTCGGTTATTAAGGCCAGTTCTAAGAGTTGTTATGGAGTTGTCATTAGCAATATCTGGAGCATCCCCATTTCTCCACCCCACTTCTAATAATTCCAAGAAACAAACTTCACTGGAAAATTGGCTCAGAGAGAATGCTACCTGTCTCCGTGTTCTCTGACGTTTGGGAGGCATTAATGGACAGTTATATGCAAATACATATATACACCTCCATCACAGCTGACACCAAAGAAGTAGTACAAGATCGGAAGATATGGAGAGTCCTGCCTCACAGAATCGCCAAAAGTCAGACATGACTGAATGGATAACATCATCATCCACACATACGATTTTCATGAGAAGGGGGGGAAATTTTGGAAAATATGCGGTAAAATAAAATTTGCAGAGAGAGAACATTTGCACCAGTTGAATTTGCTAATATTGTTTTGATACCTGAATAGGGCAGTTACAGAATCCCCTGCAATTGTCAAAGAGGCATTTATAAGGCCGGCTATATGGTTATCTTCCTTTCCTTTCTATTCCTTCTTTATTTTAATTGTACAATTGTATAATGCTCTTCTCCTGGAGAATCTGAAAATACTTTTAGGGCATTTGAAGGGTACTGTGCAAATTCTTCTTTTGTTTTAAGCTGCCAAAGGGCAACATATGTTGTGAGGGGAAAAAATGGATTAGCTGCAGGTGCATTTAGACTGACAGTCTTTATACCCTCACAAAAACAATTCTCTAAGGAGTCAGATTTTAGCCTGCACATATTGCCACTTGGTAGCTTTTCTGGCAAATGCCAGATTGCTGATTATCTTCATCAGTCTTAGGAGAAATAAATATTAACTTCTCAAAGGAAGTGTGAGAATAAAAAGTGCCTAATAAAAATATGAGAAAAAAGGCACTGTCTTTTCGTATGGCAAACACTTCCTTTGGCACCCCATGCTCTCTGTGGAATTTCTTTTTTTTTTTTTTAACTTTTCATAATAATGGGAAGTTGGTATGTAATAAAATAAAAATCAGCTTTTGGCATTGTTATTAGTTATTAGTAATAGTAATTGTTATTATTATTACTACTTCACATCATTGGAATAAAACTGTGTCTTCTGCTGATCAGATTGCCAGGTCATCATATCCCTGGAGTAAACTGAAATAATGGTGACAAACAACTTCAATCTCCCGACTGTACTGCAGATATTGCATTTTGTTTTTATGCTGAAACAAAGGTGTGAAGAAAGAATCAGGGAAGACAGCATGTGGCATTGCAGAAGATGGGCTTAAGGCATAGCTAGGCAACCTAAGGCTTTTGGCTTAATTTTCAGGCCCAGGCTGGGCAGTTATTCCTGATAATAACTCCCATACAAGAGTGATTCATCTCCCCATGGGACAGACAGGAAGAAAATTGAATCTACAGGGGAAAAAGAGAGATGGGAAGAGGGAGGAAGAAAGGAAGGGAGGGAGGGAGGGAAGGAAGGAAGGAAGGAAGGAAGGAAGGAAGGAAGGAAGGAAGGAAGGAAGGAAGGAAGGAAAGAAGGAAGGAAGGAAGGAAGGAAGGAAGGAAGGAAAAGGGGCAAGGGGAAAGGATAAAGGGAAAAGGGAAAGGGAAGTGGACTTAGTTTTCTAATTTTACAATTAGTTCAAGGTTGTGTTCTACCAAAGGTCTCTGATAAGAGTAGCAGATGAATTGGATTCCTTAATTAAAGACATAAAAGCAAGCTTTTCATTCCTTGAAATGGGCAAAAAAAACTTTTATTTTCAGATCATCCCAGAACATCCCAAAGATATTGTTAAAACTATTGTGAGTGATTGCATCAAAGCAGTACTATATATGTCTGTTTAATCTTATTCCATAAGCCAATGGAGCAAAGACCAAATATAGTCCATTTTGCATTTATATTTATATTTATATTGCCACATTTCAGTAGTTTTTATATTATTTCCTACTATTGATTAGATTCAGAAATTTAAAAGAGCAGATACAGACAGATGCAGAAAGACAGTGACAAAGATAACTTTATTATCATGTATCATTATAGATTCTTATTCATAGATTCTTATTCATTTCAGCAAACTTCGTTTTTTCATTAAAATGGTATGCATGAAAATGATCCTTTGGACAAGTAATGCTAATTTTGTAAGCAATTTCTTTAATTGTAATTGTATAAATTTATTTATTTATAAATAATTTATTAGAAATAAATAGCTCATGTTTAACTATTTGGTGCTTCATTGTCAACTATTCTTTGACTTTTTCCTCTCTTATATTAAGGAACTGCTCTCAACAATTTTCAAAGCAACTTTTTTATCCCTTAGCAATATTTAAGAAAGAAGTTTAGCTTATGAATGGATTTCTAGATTTTTTATTGCCTCAAACCAGCAAAATATGGAATAATAAACTTAAGTTACAAGAAAGGAAAATCCAGTGGAATGTGGCTACCTATCAGAGGTGCCTTGGCTTAAGCAAACACTTGGATTCAATAGCTTTTTATAAATAAAGACTCCCTTAATCCTAGTGGAGTGAAAGAGTGGCGTGGTGGCCTAAAGGTGGTGTTCTTGCCTCACAATCAGGAGGCTGTGAGTTCAATCCTAGGTAGCAGAAAAAATTTCTGTTGTTAGCTCCTTGTGGGCAACATGACCCCTGTACAAAGAATTACAAGGTCTTTAAAAGAAAAAAAATCCAAGTGAAGTGGAAAGAGCCAATGTGGTATAGTGGTTAAAGGCATCAGACTAGGACAAAAAGGGACTGGATCTGCCTTAGGCAGAATGCAAGCTGACCTTGGGCCAGTTACTCTCTCTCAGCCCTAAACAGGAGGCAATGTCAAACTACTTAACAAAACCTTTCCATTAAAATTGTATGGACTACTAGTGGAGGCAGTCTTCAGGAGTCAATAGTACCTCAAAGGAAGGGGAGGAGGGAGGGAAGGAAAGAGAGAGAGAAAAAAATTCCCATTTTCCAGTCAGAGTGGAAGAAGCTTCTTGAATGAAATAAGAAAGTCCAGTTGCCTCCTGAAAAAGCACCTTTGGGTTTCCACCCAAGTACCATGTTTTCCCGAAAATAAGACCTATCCTGAAAATAAACCATTGCTTGATTTTACATGTGCACCTAATATAAGCCTTACCCCAAAATAAGCTGTAGTTAAGAGTCTTCACAGCTGGCCACCTGTCCATTCTGTCTAGTTGTTCATGGTGCCACCACCACGAGGTGAGGCAAGGCAGATGGGGGAAGGGGTAGAGCTACCCTATGTGCCCTATACCTGCTTACCTCAGGCCTCCTCAGCCAGACCTCCCATGCCCCAACACCTGTCTCACCTCATGGTGGCAGCACCAATAGCCCCATCCACCAGGAAACCATGTTGCCACCCACTTCTGTGGCCATTCACCGCTGCTCATGTGCTTCCTCCCAACCTCCATTTTGCCAGCAAAGGCCTTCAGGAAAAGGCCTCTGCAGCTGAGAATGGAGCCTGGGGATGACACACAACCCTGAAGGCCTCTACCAGCAAAACAGAGGCTGGGGATGACACATGAGAGCTGCAGCACGTGGCTGCAGAAGTGGACTGGTAAGCAGCCACGTGGGCCTCTGCTGGACAGGGCAGTTGGTGCTGCCGCCGTGAGGCGAGACAGTGGAAAAAATAAGACATCCCTTGAAAATAAGACCTAATGTCTCTTTTGGAGGCAAAAAAAAAAAATATAAGGCCAGGTCTTATTTTCGGGGAAACCCAGCATTATTCAGGCCTACCCAGGTTTAGTTCCAAGACCAGTCAAACTTGGCTAGATGTTATGTCCATTATTATTTGAGGACATAGACATTATGTTTCTCATCACCAGTTTGGAACTCTATGAATGTTTCAGGACTGTTGTTGTTGGAATTCCCCAGCAAGAATTGCCCTTAGCCAAGATTACTCTATCATGAAATCACTAGTGAAATCACTAAATGAAATGACCATTTGGGAACAAACATCTATTATGAACTTAAGTTGTTCATTTTAGGATTTTCAAATTGAAGCAGGTGAGGCAACTGTCATAAACGTTTAGCAGCCATCAGCTGGGACAATTGATCGCATTTCTGTGAAGACTAATTAGTGTACAACTTATTGGTCCTTGTAATATATTTCTCCTTGGGATACTTATAAGGAAATCATTTTTGGAGACTGAAAAGATCTAATTCATTTTTTCTTCCAGTTACCATTAGCCAATGGCCAGCAGAAGGCAGTATGTGCTAATTTTCCATGAATTAGAATCTCTAGCTAGATTCTTCCAGTCAAGTTGCAGGTCCTGCTCTTTGGAATTCCAGACAATATGTCCAACATCAGACTGGTAAGGAATGATAAGAGTTTTTATTATATTTTAACATATTGTATATATGTTAAAAAAAACAAAAAGTTCAGGAAGAAAGCATAAAGAAAGGTAGGTAGGTGAATCATGTGGGTCCTTCCTGAATAGATATCTAAATTCCTGGAATGGCAATATTACTGTAGGGTGTCACTTAATGATGTGACTCACACGAAGATCATACTTCCAGACGTTGCCAGAGCTATGCACGAGGCCAATAGAAAATTAGCTTCTATTTTGTTGTACAATGGCTAAGTGACACCACTATTTATTTAGCAGAGTTTTGAGCAAAGTTGAAATCAGGATTAGCTGACATTCTTTTGTTGTCTTTTATCTTTTTAAATTAAGTGATTTAAACAAAATAGCAGGAATTCTGGTGAACTTTGTAGTGTATCCAGTATAGAAGTCAATGGAACATGTAAAAGCTGGAGCTGCATCACTTTGCAGTATATTCCAAAAAAAAAAAAACGTTTATCATCAGGGTGGGATTAAGTTGTCATTGATCTGATTGGTGAGGGATTATATCAGATCTGCTTCTTCTGATGATAATGGCTGACCTATCTTTTAATATCAAGAATGTCGAAGGAGCATCTTTGAAGTTCAACTTCTACCTGTATTTATCAACCTCCTTTGCACAGTAAATACCTTTTCTACAACACAGCTCCATCTGTTCATCCTTGTCTATATCCAATACTCCTGGAGAAATCAAGACATTTTTCATGCTTTTCTACTATATATTCCAACAACATTGTGTTCCATCTATGAAGACTATGGTATAATAATGCCTGGCTCCTTGTGTATGGTTTTTGGTGTGTGAGAGAAGGAGATTTAGTGTGTTTCCATAGATTTCAGTGAGGGAAAATATTCAAAAATAATACATGGAGACAATTAGGTGATCATTAAAACAATTACCTCTTATTTTATTCTAATAGTCATCTATTGAGGACGTTCTCCTCTCTAGAATGAGCCTTTTCTCATTTCCTATGTGTTAATTAGCCTTTTCTTCCTTTCTTTAGTTGTCTGGATGCAGCTAGGAAACAATGTGTTGTCCTTTGTTTCAGTCATTGAATGTGCCATTAATTTGTGCCATTCACAAGATCTATTGGATTAATGCTTCATGAAACTACAAAGCCGAGACAAACAATCTGCTCCCATTATTAAAATGTAGCAAGCTGACTATTGTTTACTATATCAGCTATGTCCCATTTTGCATTGTGTTAAATGTTTTCCCCCGCTCTTCTCTTGTCCCACTTGCTTTAGATGACCTTCAGTCATGGTGTCCATGGTAACCCAGAGCATAGGATGATACTAAATTGGCAAAAAAGATTTTACTATGAAAAAAGAAGAAGAAGCCTGTTGTTTTAAGTCAAAAAAATAATATGTTTTAAATATTTGGAAACATTTTGTGGTTGAACATTTAAAGAAGAGGAAATTAAAGTAAGTAGCATGCATCCATTTCTTACTGCAGAAGTGGATGCATGCATATTACACATTGTTATATGGCCATCATCTTTGTGTCGTAATGGAAGGTGCACCATTCAGTTGACTTCATGCAAGAGTGGATACTCTGTATCAAAGTCCATACAATCAGGCCAAAGCCCAACATAATATGTTATCAATCAAATCATGGTTCCTTCTTGCTCATGGGAAGTCAAAATAGAAAATTAAAAACCATAACAACTCAAATATTGTTAAAAGACAATTAAAAAACTAAACAAAAGATACTTTATTTAGTGTTAAAAAATATTACAGTAGTACCATGGAATAATTCCAAATCCTTGCTCAAGATCCTAAAATAAAGCACCCAGAAAGAAGACTCTTTCTATAAGTTCTTAAAGCAGAATATAGCACAATATAGACCCTTCCAATGACCTCACAAAATGGGGAAAAGTGGTAAATGTCCATCTCCTTTCAACATTTGAGGTTTTCCCTTCTGTAAGAGGCACTGTTGGTTCCAGGTGGCTGGCTAGACAGTATCAATAGAATATGTTATTCATAAAAATGTTAAAGGATATAAGGAAAATGTGTATTTAAGTGATGCTTTTGAATAAAGCCACTAAAAATAGTAACAATAAACAGCAACACCCAACAGTGAATGCATATGTCTTTCCTCTGAAACATCAAGACTATCTAATTTTATCCTCACAACAAAAGCCTTATGGTGTAGCTAAAACTGAGAGAGGGTGACTGGCTCAAAGTTGTGTAATCATCAGAAGAAAGACTTCAAATATACTGAATGTGAATTAATCTTACAAGTCCCCCAGAAATTTTATTACTCAACCTTCTCACAGAATACATGATTCAAGAAAAAAGCTTGTATGGGGAACCTGCTTTTAATCTTAAGGCTCTATCCCAAACTAGATATGACATTAATCTGAGAAAAAGGTTGGCTTATTTCAAGTACATAATAGCTTATTAGCATATGATAACATCATATCCTATTGCATCTGGAGTTCCCAGATTGTTGCCTGTTATCATGCCATAAAGTTGCCCTCTCAGAGTTTCTTTAGGCTGGTTGTAACCAAGTTGCCATCTTACTTGGCCTAAGTGAACTATGGGACAGACAATACCTATTCTTGTAAAGACCATGAAGTTGAGTAAATTTATTCTTCCCCTATTGGACTTTTAAGAATTGGTGTTGGGGGTAAAGATGTAAAGATGTAAAAGATGTGAAACAGCAGTCAGCCAATCCTTCTCCATTAGAAGTTTATGAAGATGGAAAAGAAAAGTTCCAAGGAAAATGAGTTAAAGGAAGAAGAATATGAGATGGGTGCTGGTTGAGTTCAAGAGATACCATCTACTTATAAATGGCACGCTACATAGGGCTTTGGTGACAAGGCTAAAAAAGAGAACCATGGCAGAGAAGTGTAAGAGCTATATCAAACAATGACATAAGGAAGAACTTGAGTCCAGATTAGTTCATTACATTAAAATTATACAGGTATGAAATGAAACTCTCAGCCTGTTAAAATGGACATGTGGAAGAAAGTTATTTGCACTTTAGTTCTGCTCAGTGTATGTGGTTTAAGTCTTACAAGTTGCTGTTTTTGTAGATACTGAAAGGAAATTAAATTTGAGTTCTATGTTTACATCCATATCCCCAATAGAGGCAGTTCAATAAAAGGTAAATTAGGAACCTCTTAGTTAAGCTGTTTTCTGGTACCAAAACAAATCAGCTTATACTTTGTATATTCTTGTTGAACAGTCTTATCTGGGGAATATTAATCATAATGAGATGTGACTTTTACTGTCTAATAATAATTAATTACACATGAAACTCAAAGTCATTTTTGGAGTTTTCTGATTACATAGTTTAGGAAAAACCCAGAGGAATTGTTCCACAGGATAAAATTATTAATCATTACTTGCTAGGTGCTAAGAATTATCTATTGACAGAGGTAAATTAAGAAAGATACTTTAGGCCCTTATTATTGTTCAAGACAAGGGAAAAATAATTCAGTGAGGAATTCCTTTGTTTTCTTTTTACTTGCTTTTTTAACATAAATAAGTGTAAGTTAATCTTATAGTTTGCTTTAATAATTAAATATATGGTTAGGGAAAAAAGCCTTAAAAAGCCCAACTGGTCCAACTAATATTACTTTACCTCTTCTTCCTGCTGATATTCTTCTTTATTCTCTAGGTACCTAGAACAACAGGAATGAAATTTAGCTGTTTTCTAATGGGTAGATGGTTTGCCATCTTCCTTCCTTCCGGGTTAGTACTTTCTAAATTTAGGAAGTCTAAATTTCAGAGGAAGAGAGCAAGATGTACACAGGGAGCGTTGGGGTCTTCTTTTAATCTGATAGCTAATTCCACAGTGAGGCACTCCCGTTAGGCCTCCAGTCCAAGGTCTTCACATTCTTAAGAGGTTCAGAAGAGTGAGTGCAGACCTCACATCAGGAGGGCATGATGTTCTAAATGGCAGGAATCTTCTCCTGGGCCATGCAAGCAGGAACTCCTTGACCAATGTGACCTGCAGTATCCTCTTCTGCTGGCATGGGAGGGCAACCTCATGGTGATGACACAGTTCCTTAGATAGCTTAAACCCATGCCACGAAAGGCTTTAAAAGTGATAACCAACACCTTGAATTGTATCGGGAAACACCCCCTAGGAATGGGCCCAGCAGGATGCTCAATGAGGTTATTTTTTTAATGCCAGTCCTAAGAATGTATAGATCCGAGAAGAGTCTGAGTCCTGCTGCTCAAGAATTTCAGGCATCTGGATCTTACTCTTAATTAATTGTTGCTTCCAGAAAGCACTTGTGCAGATTTCTCAAATTAGACCTACAAATAGACCAAATTACAGACCAGAATAAGCCTACCTGTAGAATTGTGTTCAGTTTTAACTTTCAACATCTATTTGCATTAAGCTTATAGATCTTACATTTCAGTTCCATGGCTCTAATTATGTCTATTTGCTGCATACCAGATAGAATATTTTTAATCCAATCCTTAGGGTAGAACAAAGAGAAACAGCGGCTTCTCACAAAACAAATGTTGCATAAATATTTTCATATACTTTTACAGGTTCTGTCAAATATAGCCTACTAGGTGTTGAGTTCTAGGAGTCCTAGGAGACAGTGTTATAAAAATAATAATATACTGAGACTAAAGGGCGAGAGATGGAAGATTTGAGAAAGACAATTTCAATATAAGATTGTCAAGGGCAAGGCAAGGGAGTTACCTCTTTTACTTTTAAAAAATACTATTTCTAGGATTTCCTGTGAAATCTGGTTTCTGTACCTGTTTTCATTTATGGCACAATAAAATAATAATCTACAGCAGGAAGCAGCCATTTATTCTGGATCTCTGCTGACAAACATGAATTATGATTAGCTACAAAATTAAAATGGATAAAAAGGATAGGATAGGATAGGATAGGATAGGATAGGATAGGATATTTATTTGGCCGAGTATGATTAGAGACACAAGAAATTTAGCTACAAAACTAAAATGGATAAAAAGGATAGGATAGGATAGGATAG